TTATGTGAAATGTACTAAGTCACAACTGTAAAAAAAACAGATACACAAGAAAACATGTTTGAACACATTCCTGTCTTAATTTATTACACTTGCAATTACAAAAAGACAAAAATAGAAATACAATGGGATAGAGATCTTGGCCTTAGTTTTCCTCTTCTGTCCTAAGTTTGTACTCACTGGGTCTTGAGAGAGTATGGGAAAGATGTCTCTAAGCCACTGTTCTCTTTCTGGGACTTAAAATGACCTCAGACATAACTATGACCAGTCTAAAAAGCTGTGCTAGGAAAGGATCCAGAAAAGTGTATTTCACTCTGGCATGGCTGGCCCTACCCTTGGGATGCTTACTTGGTCAGGGGAATCCTTTAGGGCAGCTTTCTGGCTACTGTCTGTACCTTAGCAGTCCAAACAGCCTAACAAGGGTTCAGGACTAATCCCTGTGTTTGTCCTAGTATTTTAGCACTCTTATGTTACTGTAGTGAATGCTCTCGCACTTTCAGTTAGGTGGGTTGTTTGATTTAATATATTTTCCATCTCAAACTTCTATGATCAGATCACTCCTGTCTGTGATAGCTAAGAAATGCACAATTATTCATGACAGTTCCTTGCTACAATTTTTAAGTAAATGGGCTTAATCTCTGATGATTTAGCTGTTTAATATCTATCTCTGAACTAATATATTCTAAGGATCCGGTCCAAAATAGTGAAAGGCAGAAATGTGCACATGGTATTATCCTCTTGGCTGAGATAATACATCAGTCTGCTCATTTTTTCCCTAAAATGGAAACAAACTCCTAGAGTATAAAGCTTCCTGACTACTCAGTATTCATAGCTGTGCATGCAGAGTACCATATCAGGCAGCTAATGTGTTATGTCTATGAGATGCCCAAGCTTTGGGGTAAACCAAGCATAGATTAACCAGCTTTGACTATACCTATTTCACAGGTCATTAATCCTGCCCTTTCTCAGTTGTACACCACTAGAGATGAATGTTAGGATTTCTATTAGGCATAACCACATATGCTGGAGCAAGAAAATAAAAATTGGATTCTTGTCCCTAGAAGAAAAGATTTGTAAAAAGCTTTTTCCATCCTAACCCTTGCTGGTCAAGTACCGCAATGAAAAGGGTAAAGGTTGTTCAAATACTGGCTGAGTCCCTATTTGATTTGAAGTGTTAAGAGCTACAAAAATATAACTTTAAACACAAATCAGGTTCTTTCATGAAATAGCATTACAGAGGAATACTTGACAAAGTATAGAAATATAAACTGGCAACCAAATTCAGAAATGTACCCATGGCACTATGCTGAGAGCTCTTGATATTGGTGAGCCAATATACGTGCATGCATGCACCAACACACGCGCGCGCGCACACACACACACACACACACACACACACGTGCTCTGAGGGGGTGCTTTAATTAGAACGGCTTCGAGAGCTGCTCTAATTAAAGCACCCACAGGGTCTCATATATCACCATCCCCATGCTTCAAAATGGCAGCAGGGGTGTTTTATCTAAAACTAATTGAATGAGCTTTAGATAAAGTGCCCCTGCCAACATTTTGAAGCACAAGGACGCTGATACACGAGACATGGGAGGCTGCTGGAGTGCGGTAATTACCATGCTCCAGCAGACTCAATTAATTGAGTCTGCTCATGTTGGTGCAGCTTTCCTGCACATGTATAGGCACCCTTAGGTTGCAAGTGCTTATTGCGGGGCTAGCTGTCCAGCAGTAGTATGATAGGGCAGAATCCTGCTTGAGCAGGAAGGATACTGCTAAGGCAGCAGGTGTAGCAGGTGTAAGCTGCCCTGGAGGGTAGGCATTAGGAACAAAATGGAAACCCCTGTGGGTGGCTGGGGAGCCATTTGACCAGTAGGGCCAGGACTTGGGAGGCACATAATGTCAGTGCTTGAGGGCAGGCAGCAGTCTGGCTTTGCAGGTGGCATAGATAGGAACTCCTGAGTAGGAAGGCTACAGGCGAGTGACTGACTGATACCTGAACTGTCCTAGGAACTGCAAGAAACATATGGCCTGCAGGAAAGTTAAGACCCAGTGTGTGGAAGATTTTTTTGTTATATAGCTAGTGGGCTTATGTTTATGTTCTAGCTTATACTGGTGGACCGAATGTGGCATAAGGGGTGATGATAATAACACGGTGGGGTGCTTGAGGGGTGCACCATGGTTTAAGCCACGGGAGTGTTGGAGAGGAATGTGGGTGTTTTGAGCCCTGCCAGGGGGACAAGATGAGGGCTGAAGCCCAGAAGCCAGGTCCTGTGTAGTAGGCTAGGGGTTTGGCCAAAGAAAGAGGACCAAAACCCAGATGGCTGATGCCTCAATGGGGGCTCAGAGGCCTGAGGAGGCTTGACATGATAATTGGTAACATCTGTGAGGCGTGGGCATGGGAAGGAGGCCACGAATATCCCTTAAGACAGCAGGTGTCCTGGGGAGCCCACTTAATGCTTGAGGGACAGGTTTGGGATCTGTAGGGTCCAAGAGGGACCTGCTGGCTGAAAGATGGACAGTGGATCACTCTAGGACCCTTTGGTAGCCTCCCTTTTCATAATCCAATTATTCCAACAAAGGTATGGCAGACAAGAGGAAAGGGAGGGTACTCTAGAAGGCAGAACAGGGCAGGAGTTGCATTGTCACCAGGGGGTGTTATGGCCACCCCTTAAGGCCCCATTCTGTTACAATATATATAGTTTATGTTCTAAATTTCTGAGTTCAGATAGCTGAGCTCTAGTGAATCAATGAAGTATACAGGCATTTTAACCATCATTCATAGATACACTCCTAGCTTTAAAATATCGTGAAAGTTAAAAAAAACAAAACAACTCAGGACAGTATTGCATTGTTGGCCAAATATGATTTCTCCTAAGTACGTTTGGACATAAATCACTCAATGATCTAATCATTTGAACCAGATCTTTAGATTTTTAACCGAAATTCTAGCCTTTTGAAGTCAATGGTATATTCGCCACTTTTTTTTTTAAAGCACCAAATTTCATGGTAGAGTGTAATCATACAAACACACATGGTTAGTTTTACTACTGTAAATAGCCCCGCTGATTTCAGGATTAGATTCATGCTCTAAAATCTTAGATGGTGTAATATTTCCGGTGACTACTTACATGTTGCCCCGTGGCTGCTCATAGGGCTATGAGTTTACAACACCTAGTATCATTTAAAGTGAATTCATTCTATTTGTTTTTAAAAAAACCTACAGAACTTTTTATTCATCTTTTGATTGGCTGTTAATGTCCTATTGTAGTTTGCTATTTCAATTTTGGAGTTCTACACTAATATATATGAAGATATGAAAGTGACCAGAACCAAAGCAGTTCCATACCTTAACTGGTATAAAATGATAGAGCTCCATTGACATCAATAGAGCCCCGCTAGTATACATCCACCAGGACCCAAAAGTGAAAGGCAGAAAGCTAAACAGCAGCATGAAGTATGGATTGATTTGTTTAGACTTTTATATTTAGTTTTTAAGTTCCATTTAATATAATTTTGCATTATGAATTTTTTTTAAATGTTTTAATTTTAATTGACAATGACTCTTATTTAGATGGAGTGTTTTTTAATGTTTAACTTGCATTAAATACTTCCCTAGGCAATAATTAAGCCTTTATGGTGACACTCATGCAGTCAGGCCTCAGCTGGTGCAAAGTGTGAATGCCACTGAAAATATTCTAGCATTTGTTACAGTAGTGTGAATCCCAGCATACATTTATTGACTTTAGTAGGGCTACTGCAGGTGTACACTGGTATCTCTCATCAGAATTTGCCCCTTCACTCTACATATTTTAGAGTCAAGGTTCAATGTTAATTTCAGGTGCGTCAGTTTTTATACATGGAATCTGTAAATCTACAACTGCACCCCCATATGCAAGTTTTGTTGCAGGTTTTTCTAACTATGCAATGATCTGTCCTGCTTTGGAGTTGCACACATACGTGAGATTAGAATTAGGCCCATATTACACACATGAATATAAGGTGACAAACGTGGGACCACCAATATATCAGTTGTTAATAGCCATATGCTGTTATCATTGACATTGAGAACATAATTAAATCAGAATGATTTGAAACTGCCATCAG